AAATCCTGGGGGGGGGGGGGGGGGGGGGCATGCCCCCGGACCACCCTAGAGAATTTGAGGTCGAGCCCCACTTAAAATCACGTGGATAGGTTCCTAAATATATTTGTAAATACTTTTTTTTTTTGAAATAGTAACCCATTTCCATATGTTTGTGTGGGTTGTAGATTTAAACTATAGGGCTATCATTATGGGCCCTGCCTGTAGCTGTTCGCTCTGCCATCGCGTGAAGGGTCTGCTAACAAGCGACCAACAGAAAGGTTAATGTTGTTGCACGTCACCTCAACGCCCCCCCCCCAAGTATATTTCCGATCTGTGGGAAACACTGATCATCTATATTGTTTAACATTTTCCAGAATATTGTCCATTTAAAAAACAAATGCTCTTGTTTTCTTTTTTATTAAAATACAAAGACACGTCATTTGATTTCAGTGCAAATTATGTCAGTTTGATGTTTACATGTGAAGTATATTAAAAAAATAATAGTTTTTATAATAAGTTAAGGATAGCAATGTTTAATCGACTTCTCATGCACATCCCAAGTTACTATGATACAATATATTAAGATTGATTATCAAACTTTCACTTTCAAACTAACAACAGTATAATATAAACCTTTCCATAGATTTCATACTTTAGTGAAAAGAAACAAATAGTGGCTTACTTTGATATGTGTTGACAATTTACATAATCTATAGATAATTGCTAACAACTGCTTCTCTGTTGTTGTTGTTGTTGTTGTTGTTGTTGTGCATATGTTATTAAATAACTTGAATGTTGGATAATGAATTATTGGGCAAGAAAATATCAAGTACAGTTCAGCAAAGCAAAGCACCAAGGACGTGATGTGTGACAGTAATGTAAAGCAGTAATAAGTTGATAGTGTTATCTAGGGCTGGGCAATATATCACTTTGTTCTCATTGCCATCACATTGCTGCTTTTGCTGATTTTTTATATTGCGAGTAAAGAACGATCTTTTTATTAAACTAAGATAATAACTACTAAGACAGATATAGTCAGTGTTTGTTTGACATCTGCATCCATGACATGCAGACAAGGCATGCAGTAATAAGCAGCAATAATGACAACAGTTTGTGTTATTTCAGATTATAGATCTGTTTTCCCACATCACACAGCCCTAGAATGAGAAATGTAATGGTGTTGTTTGTGAAGTCATGAAATGATGTTTAGTCAAACACGTCAGAGTCAGTTACTTACAATGTTGTCTCCCTGTTGTTGAAAATGGACACCAAGGAAAGCAGAAAAGAGATAAAGTTAAGTTTGGATGACACATAAAAGAATCCAGGCAGTAAGGAGGCATCATAACTATCTTCCCCCAAGAGAGATATATGTAGCACCCCCCCAAAACATCTACCAAGGGTACCTTACTACTCCCAAAGTTAACCCAAAGCCATAAAGCTGGGAAATACAGTATATAGAGCAGTGGTGATTTTTATTGAACCTATACCATTTATATTTAAATGGGCAAAATCACATCTACTCATTCTAATAAGATTAAACCCCACAGATACAATCTGATTTACTCACATTACGTGAGCTCCTATTCCTGTGACTTGTCAGAGTTGTCCCAAATACCTGAAATGCAGAAAAAGAGAGATGCATTTCATTATCAGAGGGTCTGCGTTATTTAGCACAACTGTAATGCAACACACTCTTCAATATGTGCAGTTTAAATTATGTCAAAGAAGCATGCTATAACGTTATGATTTTTAGCATATGACCTTGTCTTCAGACAAAATAGTCTAACAGTAGAATAACAACACTCTCACACAGAGCTGGAAAAACACCAACGTTTGCAACCGATGTGACAACAGCGATGTGTCTTGTCTTACTTTAACCGTGTTTCCGAAGCGTCCACCCCAGAAAGGATTAAAGATTTTGGACATGGAGAGCACAGCACTGTGGGCAGCCATCTTGATTCTGAAGCAGTGGTCGCTTGAACGAGATTAGGCTTGTGCTCGCGCGATAGTTACAATGTTATTGTATTTACGGGTTTTCATTTTTTAAACCCACAATAAAGATCATACATGTCTCACATACAAATTAAATAAAACAATACGAGGGTCATTTGAAAAAAAAAAGTGTTTAATTGTGTCAAGGACAATTATAATAATAATAATAATAATAATAAGAGGGGCAACAACAGGGCACAAATCAAAGTACTAAATCAAGGAACTAAATAATTCTCCACAAATCACTTGATATTTAACTAAGAACACTTTTCAAATAATACTAGTGAATGCGGAAGTTTTTTTAAAATAATTGTACATATGTATTTATTACATTATAGAGTGGTAGATATCGTGACAAGGAGGGAGTCAAGCTTCAATAAAGATCTGTTAAAATAATAATACAAAATATAGATAATAGTTAAATAATAATAAGTATTTTGGTCACATAAACAACTTTGCAAAAAATAAATCTTCAAAAATAATTTTTCAACAAGAATGAAGGTCATGTCTGCACATTTAGCTATAGATTAATCAAAGATCCAGAAAGTGGGAAAGTTGCATTTGGAGTAACCATTCCTGAATGAAAAATGTAAAAACGTCAGCTCAGATGTCAGAAGGCTATTGAGGGCAGAGATGCGGGAAATATTTTAGGCACTTTGGCTGATAGAGGATAATGGACACGACAATTAAATCATGCAGTGATTCAGCAGCAGCAATTAGTTCAGTATTCAATACTTTGCAAACATTATAAATAATTCACAAAGCGGGCTGTGAGGTAGGTTAATTTGTGTACCAGCACACATGGGTTTCATTGTCCAGTGCATGGATTTAACGAAATAAGTTGTTCAGGGACCTAGAATCAGTTTTCTCTGCGCTAATTACTCAACCTGAATAACTCGAGTGAAATAAAGAAACTGGTGTAATTCATGCACAACATTAATATGTGAATACATTTTTTTTTTTTAATGAATTTAACAAACAGTAACGTTAGAGGGCACAATGCGTTATTGCAGGGTGTAATTTGGCAACTCAGAAGGAGCAGAAGAAGAATCCCTCCGCGCAGACTCCGTGCGCTCCGCCTGGGACTGACTCTGACTGGGGGTTGGGTTGGCAATATATCCGGAAGACACCAACAAACCAGCATTTTGTTCCATGTTTGCCAAAAGCGGATAAGTAGGAGTTGTCTTCATAGTTGACTAGACGTTTTGACTTTAGCCTGTCTTCTTGTTTAGAGGTGTTTTATACCAAAGAAGCTTCAATGAGGAAACAGCGTAAGAAATAGGCAAAGTCCCGAGAGGCAAGAGCAACAGCTCCTCTTCACCGTTCATTACAGACTACAGAGGTGAAAAGAAAAGGCAGCATTGGCCTCAAGCGTTGATACAACAGGTAAAATATGTCGTGTCTTTTAAGTAATTTGATATAAGTGATTAAGTATGTTGTCAAAGGGTTATCATGTGTTGCCTTTTTGGTTTGTTACTTCAAACGCCATCTCTGCATAGCCATCTTGCATTGCCACAATGGAAAATGTAAAGCTTTCTGTTAGTTGTCATTCTCATTTGAAAAAAAATCACCCCACAATTGTGATTTATGTTATTATTTATAGGGTTTCGTTTATTATTTATATCTGCCGTTTTGGTTAAAGAATACCACTCTTTTCCTTCAATATTTTACTTATAATAAACTCTTTAAAGTTTCTTAAATCAAGAACAATTTACACAATGAAATGGTATTATTCCATTATTTCAAACAATAAGATGAATCATCCCTTATTGTATTGTGATTAGTTTCTTGTCCTGATTTTTATTTTAACGCCTGTCATGACAAATGGAAAATATTTTGATAATCAAAGTGTTTTGACAAATCTCATTATGAAATCTACTTAATATATTAATTTGTTTTTAATTCCCTGTCTAGGTCTATGAGACGGTGAATCATGAGACTAACAGGTCAGTTTTAGTTTTTGCATTTATTTTTTATAAAAAAAAAAGCTAACAAAAGCCAATTCTAACTATAAACTTTTTGATCGAGTGGTTTTCTTATGCATGTGGTGTTTCCTGTTTCTCTGCAGGGCCCCTGAGAGCTGTGGCTGTGCTGCTGCTGGTGGGCCTCACCTGGCTGCTGGCAAACTCCTTATTCGGAGGGGAGAGCGGCTCATCCATGCGCAGTTTCTTCACTGGTATAAGAAGTTGTTCTGAAACAATTCAATGATTAATACAAATATTAGTTACAAACAATCTATCAAGCACCACTGGCTACTGCTCACTGGATGTAACAGCTTAATGTGAGGCTTTGTGGAGTTGCTCTGTTTTGAAGAATTGAGCATTGAATTTATTTTGAATTTTTAACATTGCATTTAGCTCTGTGAAACAGTGATGGGCCTTTTTCATTTATTTTAGGTACAAATTGATATTGGCAACCTAAAGACAGGTTAGAAGGGTTTATGTGTATGTGAAATATACTCGGATCCAAGAAAGCCTTTTTTTGAGATTTAAAATATTTCATTTGAGTCTGACATTTTTATTTATTTTGTATTACAGGTGCAAGCGAGAAGCCAACAGCTGGTAAGTAAGAAAGCAGTTAATCACATTTAATGACTTTGACCTATCAAGTCTGATCATGATAATGTTTTTTAATTATCCTTATCACCACTGACTAATGTTTCATATTTCTAGCTGAATCACGCCCTCGGAAGCATAAATGTGGACTATCAGCCCCCTGTCCCGCCAAACATTTGGCGTTCCGCCTGGTGTCTGGTGCTGCCAATGTCATCGGGCCTAAGATCTGCTTGGAGGACAAGATGTGAGATTCCCTGCTTACCAGTGTCTTTCTGTCCATCTATGTCTTTGTCCCCCCTGCTGTCTGTCTTTTTCGTTCTTTTTTTGGTTTCACACTCTACTCTTTCTCTCTGTGCTTTCATAACCAGAGCTCCAGCTTGTCTGGGAGACGAATGAAAATATTCTTTCAGTCTGTTCCCCTTTTCTTTGTTTTTTTCTCCAGTCCTGGTTCCTATTATATTTGTGGTTGTTTCTCAATTGCCAGTCAGTGTGTATTAGTGTGTACATTTATGTGTATGCGCTAGGCAAGGTATTATTCTCCTTTTGGTCCTTTAGCCACTGTTTCATCCTTTCCTGTTTCTGTCTCACAGGTTAGTGAGCAGTGTGAAGAACAACGTTGGCAGAGGACTAAACATCGCTCTAGTTAATGGTAAGAGTGTCCTCATCCATCTTTTGAACTGACTATGTTGAATTAATATTTGAAGCTTCTGTACAATTATTATAGCATTTAACTTGTGTTTTCTGCACCAGGGGTGACTGGAGAACTCTTGGACACAAAGAGTTTTGATATGTGGGCAGGAGGTAATGAAAACCAGACATTAATGTAACGTTCATATTTCACATGTGGTACATATGGCTTGGCAATACCAAGCTATAAACCACAGTTCATGGCTCATCTGATTGATGTTTGTTCTCAGATATTTCGGACCTGTTGAAGTATCTTCGGCCTCTTCATGAAGGAACCCTCGTGTTTGTGGCTTCCTTTGATGATGCAGCTACAAAGTAAGAATCCATGTTGGCTCTCTGTTCCTATCTAACAGCGCTCTTGTTTTCCTCATGCACTGCAAAGTGAGTTTCATAGACAAAATTGTCAGCTTTAGCTTAAGGATATTCCATGTTATTACTTGAAAAATATTTTAATATATAAATGCATTGAATTGCTACAGAGAATATCATTTTTAACTCCACCACGGAGGTTATGTTGAAGGTTCCCCTTTGATTGTTTAGTCTCTCAGCAGTGTTACAGAATAACTACTGCTCTTATATTCATCATGACACTTGATAAGAGGGGGTTGGAGGGGCCAAGGAAGAACCCATTACATTTGGGAAACATGGGGACATCCTACAAAACAGTAATGTGCATTTAGGAAATAGGTCTCTACAAAATTAGCTGGGAAAAGCAAAAGCTCAAATTGGCACCAAAGGAGGTCAGATGAGCAGTCACACATTTTAATTTGACAAAATGCCCTGTGGGTAATCATGTGCCCTTGTGTCAAGAATGTTATTTTTAATATTGCACTAAGTCTGGTAAATGGGTTATTTGTGAACCCTAATTCCTTTCTTGTTTATAAAATGAGCACGATCGTTGACCCCTCCGTTACTCTCAAGAAGCCTTGAGGTTTAAAAACATTTCAGTAGTTGAATTGGAAAGATTCAACTCCAAGGCTGTGTTCAAACCCAAAAAGATCCCACTGAGCTTTTTGCTTAGATGAACAGCCACACCTCAGAGTCAACGGGATTATACGAGGTACCTATCTGTAGGAGCCATGAAACGTACATAGTAATGCATTTTGATATACACATTTTGTTTTATGCTAGTTTTATATTTGGGTAATGGTTTATATTCGTATAAGATATTTGTTTGATCGCAATCGTTTGGTTGCTTTGGGTCACATGGTTATGTGCGGTGTGTGTGGAAGAGAGGGTGACTCGGGGTCGTTGTACTTTTTGTTGACCGCAAGTTTAAGGATTGTTTTGATTATTATAACAATGTCTTTGTCTACGGAAAATAAGTTGATCCTCCCAGTTTTCGTTAAACTACATTATTATTCAACAGAGTTTTGATCTCAGCAAGTGCTTTTTGTAGCGTGTCATACAGTAGCAAACAGGCCCGGCCTCAGCCTCTCAGCGACTTTGTTTGTTTCCTGCTGTCGCCATACTATCTGTGTTACCAACATTAGATGGTGGTCAGCGTGCCAGGAGTTACTGCACAGATACAAAGCAATTTCCTTCTGTAATGGGGCTGTCACCAAAATGTGATTTAGTGGCTCAGTCTGTAAGGACAAGGCCTGAGTACAGAAGGGTTGCCGGTTCACGTCAGGATCGGACCAAAAAAAATACGGAGTGTGGACTGATAGCTGGAGAGGTGCCAGTTCACCTCCTGGACACTGCCGAGGTGCCCTTGAGCAAGGCAGAACCAGCTCACTGGCTGCCCCCCCTGCTCTGCCACCTCTCCTATCTTTCTTGTGGTTCTGTTTGTGCATGTTCATGTACAGTGGGGCAAAAAAGTATTTAGCCAGCCACCAATTGTGCAAGTTCTCCCACTTAAAAAGATGAGAGAGGCCTTTAATTTTCATCCTATGTATACCTCAACTATGAGAGACAGAATGAGAAAAAAAAATCCAGAAAATCACATCGTCTGATTTTTAAAGAATTTATTTGCAAATTATGGTGGAAAATAAGTATTTGGTCCCCTACAAACAAACAAGATTTCTGGCTCTCACAGACCTGTAACTTCTTCTTTAAGAGCCTCCTCTGTCCTCCACTTGTTAACTGTATTAATGGCACCTGTTTGAACTCGTTATCAGTATAAAAGACACCTGTCCACAACCTCAAACAGTCACACTCCAAACTCCACTATGGCCAAGACCAAAGAGCTGTCAAAGGACACCAGAAACAAAATTGTAGACCTGCACCAGGCTGGTAAGACTGGAATCTGAAATAGGTAAGCAGCTTGGTGTGAATTATAACAACTTTGTGTACAATTTTTTTAATTATGATATGGAGTTTGTTCTTCTATATCTCTATTTCTTCTTTCTCCACGCAAGATCTTCCACCCCGTGGCGTCCATTTTTTTTTTATTTTTTAATTGAGTGCACTTTAGAACTGGTGTAGCAATATTAATTCGCTCAGAACGCACACGGTGGGTATCCTTATGTTCCAATTGTTATTCCTGCAGGAGAGCGGGGACCCACAAGTACAAAGGTCCTTTAGTTGTAATCCCTGACATCTACTTGTCTCGGGCCAGGACTCATAATCCGGCATGCTCTATATTGCGTGTCCTTTCGGTTAAGCCTGTACTATGGTCTCAGGGCCCGGTGCTGAAGGTTTTTGTTTATTTGGAGTGTGGCATTTAGGATTGATCCAGATTATGATGATTGGGTGATGTGAATTTTTCGCATGTATGGTTTCTAGTATGAAATCCAAATATTTTATAACTTTTTTTGTATATACTCAACGTAGACGTGTGGTATGTAGAATAGGTATATGCTGAGTTTTTGGATTCCATATGAACATTCCATTACATTATCTGTGGATAAGCATTGGGGAAACATTCATGCTTTGGGGCTGTTTTTCTGGCAAAGGACCAGGTGACGGATCTGATCCGGTAAAGGAAACAAGAATGAATAGGGCCAATGGTATCGTGAGGATTTTGAGTGGACAACCGTTCCTTTTCCACAGCAAGGGCATTGAAGATGGAAACGTGGGGGTGGGTCTTTCAGCGATACAGGGATCCCAAACACGACCGCCTGGCCAACGGAAGGAGTGGCTTCTAAGAAGGCATTTCCAAAGTGGAGTGGCCTAGGGCCCAGTTTCTTCCAATCATCAACCCAGTAGGAAAAATCTTTGGAGGGGAGTGGAGAAGGTCGGTGTTGCCACGCGACAGGCCCCTCAAAAGAACCATCCACGCTTCTCGAGGAGGATCGCAGTGGAGGGATGGGCCAAAATACCAGCCAACAGTGTGTTGAAAAATTCCGTGAAAACTACAGGAAAACGTGTTTGGACCCTCCTGTCATGCCCCAACAAGAGTATTATAACCAAAGTATGAGGGATTAACTTTGGATTATTGACCCAACATACTTATTTTCCGAATTAATTTGCAAATAAATTCTTAAAAAATCAGGACAATGGGATTTCTGGGACGTTTCCCCCCCATTTGTCCTCAAGTTGAGTATACCTAGATGAAAATTAGCAGGCCTCTCCATCTTTTAAGGGGAAACTTGGCCAATTGGTGTGGACTGCGACTACTATCTTTTTTGCCCCCACTTGTATTCAACCCTAGTGTAATGTGTGTAAAACATCCAGGCATGAACAAGTAATTTTCCTGTTGAAGATATAAAGTATGTCTTCTTCTAACTTTCTAAAAAGAGGAGGCAAACCAGAATCATATTCAGTTTAAGTTAAGCATATTAGCCACATAAAATGTTGGTCAGTAGTACAGGGCTCTTGTTTCGTAGCTTGAAAGCGGTTTATCTTATGCTCTGACACATTCGAAGACTACTCAACCACCCCCCTTTAAAACATTTCAAACTTTTCTTTAACCTTCTTATCGTCATATGGTCAGGATGAACAATGATTCGGCGGACTTGAGGGAGCTTTGGGAGCACGGGCAGGTGAAGGAGCTGGCCTTCCAGAGACAGCTGGGTTTGTTGGAGCCAGAGGGCATTGGAATACAGAAGCCGCTTGAGCAGGTACGTTTACGTTATCAAGCTGGAACAGGGAGGGCTAAGTGGTAGAAATCTCAGGCCCTTTTGATGTTAACGATGTAGGGGGAAATTGTTTTGTGTCGAGTGTCATTAAAGAGACAATGCAAAATGGACCGGCGCAGAAACAGATCAGGGTTTTGTGTTGTACTCATAGGGGGTGACAAGTGGGGATACAGGACATTCAATGAAATGCAGTACAAACAGGAGGGGGGATCATCCCGATGAACCAGATATCCACAAGAGGGGATCCCCGTTAATGACAAATGGACACCTTTTAATATGGCGTGTGTCATTAGTGGATTGTAGCCTGTAGAGGAGCATTTAAGCAACATAAGTGTGTCAATGTGTGCTAAACAGACAGACGAAAGCTGAATACCGGCCACTGAGACCATTCCCTGTTGTTCTACTAGAAAGAGGCAACATAGTAGCGTAAAAGCCTCTGCAAAAGACCGATGAGGGAAATTAAAACATTAGCAATTAACACTATTTGATCTGAAAAGCGATGCATAAAGGGTAGCAAAATTACTTCGTTAAGAACTAGTGGGTAATGGACGACGGAGATGAATAATATTAGGTGGTTTCACGGGATGAGGCCAAGCATTGTGTGGCGATACGCAAGTCGAGAGATTGGATTCGGATTATTTTCGGATACTTTTTCTAGAAAAAGGGAAACGTGTCTTAAATGTAATTATTGTGCTCGTTCACACTAGAACCGATAACCAGTTAACGAACAAACTGTTTAAACAAGTGAAGAACAATAAATAAAAAAAATGACGAAGATGCGATAGGGTAAACGAAATTAAGAGCATTCTTACAGACAGCCTCGTGGTTCGTAGCTGCGCCTCACTGCCAGAGATGTAGCTAAACATGCTTCCAAATTTCGCGTCTGGTGGTGCCGTCTTTTATTAACAAAGCCGAGGCGGCGAGTGAACACAGAAATAACGGGCAGTTGCACTCCCACTTGCAGCCATGCTTCCGTTTCCGACATGCTCTGCAGCTAGGTGTGCACGGAGAGAGGGGAGGCACTTAAGCGTGCTGAGAGGGAGGGGACTGGAAGGCGACGGCTGCAGTGCAGGGATGGAAGCAGAGCGCGTCAACCAGCACACGAGCCTTATTAAAACGGTGCTTTCCACCGGAAGTACTTTTCCGCATCTATAAGAGTACCGATTACTAATGAAACGGTAGAATCGTAACATTTTTACGGGCAGGTACTCGCGGGTACCTTTCAACTATCGGTATACGTGCAACCTACTATATACTTGCAAATAAGTCCACACTATGTTATTCATCGGTAGTGATTATTATTTGAACAACTTTTATATTATTTAAATTGTTTTTTGTGAAATCCCGAGTCTGTTTTGTTTACCGATGCTGTTGCCTATGGCTGTTCAGCAATAGCGAATGAAGAAACACTAAGAGCAGCAACAAGTACG